CACCCCAGGGCCAGCCAAGGCCAGAGTGGCCTGAGGCGGGTGGCAGGGAGAACCCACCTGTGAGCACCCCAGCGCCATCCTGGGACTCCCAGCCGAGGCGTGGCGCAGAGACCCAAGGGCGGAAATGCCGAGGCTAGTCCACACCGCGGGTGGCGGGAGGAGGAGAAGGAGGAGGCTCTGCCTTCCCTTTGGGAAAGTCGCCAGAAGCAACGAGAAGGGGCCAGGGACCAAGTCGCACACGCATTCGTGCAACCCGTGTTTCCAGAGCACCATTCCATGGGGCCACGATGGCAGGAGCTGGCTGAGGCTGCGGAAGCCCCTTCCCCGCCCCTCCGCACGTGCCCAGCCAGGCCTCTGGGCGCTGGGTCAGACCGGCGGGCGGTGGGAGGCTGGCAGGTGTCTGGGGAGCACGGACAGGGTTATGGCTCAGAGCAAAGTTTTTTATCTCTCTGGTGCACAGCCTTGGGCGTACTAGTGACCATTCTGTGTTTGAATGGAAAAGTTCATCCCTTTTCCACAGTTATAGTTTTTGTTTTTTTTATTGTGAAACAGTCTCACTCCATTGCCAGGGCTAGAGTGCCGTGGCATCAGCCTAGCTCACAGCAACCTCCAACTCCTGTGCTAAAGCCATCCTCCTGCCTCAGCCTCCTGAGTAGCTGGGACTACAGGCATCGCCACCACGCCTGGCTAATTTTTTTTTCTATATATTTTTAGTTGTCCAATTAATTTCTTTTCTATTTTTGGTAGAGACGGGGGTGTTGCTGTTGCTCAGGCTGGTCTCGAACTCCTGACCTTGAGCGATCCTCCCGCCTTGGCCTCCCAGAGTGCTAGGATTACAGGCGTGGGCCACCACGCCTGGCCCGCAGTTATGTTTTCATCCTAATACTTACACACACACACACACACACACACACACACACACACACACACACAATGTAATGAGACCACACAGGCCAAGTTTTGAGCCAGCAGGGGAGGGATCCCGTTGCAGCCACACGCCAAGGCAGGACGGAGCTGCAGGACTCCTGACCCTGTGACGCCAGGGACTCGCCTATGGATGAGCTGAGTTCCAGCACCACCCCCAGTCTAGACACAGCCGGCCCCTCCCCTGCATGCCGCCCCTGCCTGCTGCCTCGGTGCATCACTCACAGGGGCTGGGTGTGGCTGTGGACTAGTCGCTTACTTTGATCCATTAGCCCGTGGAGGCTTTGCGATTACCCTCGCTGAATTTCTACTGGGGAGAAGAGGTGGTGGTGGTTTTTCTCCCACTGGCATCAGTGGAAGTGGCAGCCCTTCCGCTGCAGAGACGCCGAGGGGCCCACAACGCCGCCCCACGGTGGCATCTGATGAATGAATCGGCGACGCGGAATTAGGAAGCATGGGTGGGAGGCTGGGTTAAAGACTGCGGCGGGGTGGGCGGAGAGCAGCGTGCGGGTGTGCGTGCTCCCTCTGTCCCCTCCTCCTGGTGTCTTTCCGGGCCGAGGGGACCGTTCCAAGCTGTTCCTAACACTCAGCTGTGCGTGGGGTGTTCCGAGTCCTGCAGCTCTGCGTAGCCCAAATCCTGAGCGGGGTTGAACTAAACTGCCAGAATGTTCCTGCGACTCCTGCGCGGCTCCCCACGCCTGTCACTCTGGGCAGCCCTCTGTCTGCTCCTGTGGCCACGTCTCCTCTCCAGGTACCACTGACTGAATGTCCGTGTCCCCCTCAAATTCATATGTTAAAATCCTGACCCCCCCCCCCCCCCCCCGCCCCGGCACGGTGGCTCACGCCTGTAACCCTCACTCTGGGAGGCCGAGGCGGGAGGATCGCTTGAGCTCAGGAGTTCGAGACCAGCCTGAGCAAGAGTGAGACCCCCATCTCTACTATAAATAGAAAAAAATTAGCCAGAACAACTAAAAATAGAAAAAGTTAGCCAGGCAAGGTGGTGCATGCCTGTAGTCCCAGCTACCCGGGAGGCTGAGGCAGGAGAGGAGGATCGCTTGAGCCCAGGAGTTTGAGTTTGCTGTGAGCCAGGCTGACACCACGGCACTCTAGCCCAGAGACTCTGTCTGAATAAATAAATAAATAAATAAAAAATCCTGACTCCCAAGGTTATGATATGACGAGGTGGGGCCTTTGGGGGGGGGTTAGGTCACGAGGTGGGGCCTCATGAACGGAATTCCTGCCCTATGGAAGAGGCCCGGGAGAGCTCCTTGCCCCTTCCACCACGTGGGGACGCGGCGAGAAGACGCTGTCCAGGAACTGGGACGTGGGCCCTTCGCAGACGCTGAGTCCGCCGGCACCTTGGTCTTGGAGCCCCCAGCCTCTGGAACTGTGGGGGATGAATTTCTGTCATGTATAAGCCACCGGTTTATGGCGTTCTGTCACAGCAGCCCAAACAGACGGAGGCACCGGTCAGTGCGGGAAGCCTGGTGTCTGGCGGCAGGAAGACGAGACTGCTCTCCTCCCCCGGCGGGCTGGCTGAAGCCCCCTCTCCCTCGCTCCTCTTCTGTCTCCTCTCCTCTTTCTAGCCTCGTTCTGCTTAAAATGTATATATATGAGGAACGAAAGGGAACGAAAGGGAGAGACGTCATGCGTGTCTCACTCGTTCGCCCACCCCGAGTTCGCCGACCGTCCGCTCCACCCTCGACGGCACAGGTGCCCGCGGCGTCCCCTGCTAACCCAGAGGGTGCTGAGAACTGGGTGGAGAAGTTCGAGGGAGGTTTCTCTGCACCCTGTGTTGCCCAGCAAACTCTGCCACGTCCCCGCGGACGGTGACTCTTGCAGCCCCTCCCTCCGGCCACCACCAGTGCCCCTTTCCTGACGCCTGGGCCCTGGGCCTGCTGGGCCCTGCCCCACTCCTGGGTGTCCCCCCGGCACACCGCCGGCCACCTCTCTCAGCGTCCACCTGGCCGGGGTGGGGCTGGCACGGCAGCGACGCTGAGCTGTGACCCGCAGCAGCGACTCTGGCTTCCTCTGTCCTGCGTGGGGCCCCCTGCGACAGTCGCCTCTCTTCCCGCAGCTCCTGTCTGCAGAGAAGACACGCCAAGGACAAGAGTAGAGCTGGCCCTGCGCACTCCTTCCCCACGAGTCAGTGCATGCCTTGCTGTTGGTGCAAGGGCTGAGAACAATTGTTTCCAGAAGCTTCTCCCCCGCCCACAACGTGCTCTCTGATAGACTCGTAAACGGCTGGAACTCCTAGCCCCAGGAACCCTAAGTGCTCCGTTTTTCAGTCACCACATCCGCCCCTCCCTGCATGCCCAACCCCACATTCGTTTCCTCAACAAAGGTGCACACGAGGCGCAGACCCTGTGCCAGCCCTGGGGCCCGTCGCCACTGCTGGCGACAGGTAGAGAAGGCAGCCCCACCTGTGCCCGCCAGGGGCTCCCAGCCAGAGGAGGGGACAGGCTGTGGGCAGCTGGGCTGGGAGCTGCAGAGACCTGGAGACACCCCCGGGGAGCAGCCCCTCCCTCCAGGGCCCCCCCCCCCGCCCTCACAAAACACCCTGTTATCTCGTCCCCGTCCCTGTCCCTGTCCCCGGGCTGCTGCACTGAGGATCCTAGAAAGTCAGCGCTTCTCGGAGCCTGGATGCCCTTCACCCCGCACCTGCTGAGATCAGAGGTTCAGAAAGAGCTAGCAGCTTGTCATACAGCACAGCAAGCAGCAAAGCCAGGACAAAACCTTCCAAACCACTGCCTTGCCCGATGCTGTCTTTGTGGCATCAACATATCAGGCGGAAGCCCCTGGGCATAAACGCCCTTGGCCTCAGTCACAAACACCAAACGCACCTGATGCCCTGTGCATGACAGCGACGGACACTGTACTTGGAGGAGGTGAGGAGCGGGGCTGTGTGTGTGTGACTATGTGTCCGTGTCTGTGTTGGGTGGCATGCCGTGTTACTTTCTCTTCTTACAGTCCTGGAAGGCAGCTTGGAAGAGGAGGCATTTTGGCAATCTTCCAAGTGATACATGTTCTCGGTGGGCTGAGCAAGGAGGGACCCCGGGGATGGGAGGGGAGGGGATTGTACCCCATATATCTGTGCACCCTGGCCCAGAACCCTGTCGCCCACAGAACTGCCCAGTGGGCTGCCCGAGTCAGCAAGGAGTGGGCTCTGGGGACAGCCGCCCAGGGCTCCTATTGATCCTTCATCTCTGAAGGTTCACTGGGGCAAACTCAACTGCCCCCAGCTCCGATGTCTGGGGGCCCGGGAGCAGGGCAGGGACAGGGACAATTCTCTGTTGACCCCTGAGACTCTTACCTGTTTATGCAGAAGTCAGGCGCCAGGGAGCACCCGGGAGGGGCAGCCTGGAGAGGCTGCGGGAAGGCTCAGCTGGGCTCCTCCCGCCCTGCCCTTGTCCCTGGGGCCACCTGGGCTGGGAAACATGGCAACAGGAGTCACCCGCCCTCATCACCTGGCCTCGTTCTCCACTTAAACACTGTCTCCCTCAGCAGCCAGACACGGAGACGCTCAAGCTCTGGGCTCCAGCTGGGAGACCAGGCTATTTTGCAGATCCCGGCAGCAGCCACTCTGTCCCCAAGGAGTCACTGAGGCCTCAGTGCACTAGTGCCCTAGCATGGGCCCACAAGGCCTCCCCCACTTCTTTGGGGGAAATTTGGTGCTATTAAAGTATGCTGGTTTATAATTTACCTTCTTCCAGAGACTGCCTGATGCATGACAGCCATTATAATACTTTGTTTTATGAAATTACTTATATACTTTTAAAATGCATGCAACGCAAGATAGAGTTAAATTTTATTTTATTTTAGAAACAGGGTCTTGCTCTGTTAGGCTGGGGTGCAGTGGTGTGATGCTGGCTCACTGCAGCCTCAAACTCCTCCAGGCTTGAGCGATCTTCTCTCTTCAGCCTCCTGAGCAGCTGGGACCACAGGGACGTGTCGCCACGCTCGGCTAATTTTTTAAATAATTGTTTTGTAGAGACGGGGGTCTCCCGATGTTACCCCAGCTGGTCTCGAACTCCTGGGCTAAAGCCAAATTACATTTTTAAAAAATGGATGCAAAGGCCCCAGACTGTGGTCTTGAAATGCCATTTATCCCTAGAGATAATGAGGGCTCCCTGGGGAAGATGCTGATTCCAGGTACGGACAGAAATGTACTAGACCAACCTGGAACATCAGCTGTTACAAAGCAAGGGAGCCATCAGAGACTTCTAGGGGCCACAGAAGGGATGGTAATGCTGAGTCTCTGTTGACTTCTTAACTCGGAAAGTTGTATTTTATATGTTTGTGTAGGAGAGTGCCCTTATTTGGGGGCAAGTACACTCTGGAGTATTTGAGGGGTATTTTGTCTACAGCTTCCTCTCAAATCATTCAGAAAAAGACTAAGGATAATGGGATATACATAAAAATAGAAAGAGCGTGGGCAGGAACTGTGACTTGCGGAATACGGCAAAGGCAATGGATTTGATTTCACTTTCATATGAGGTTCTGTCTCGCTAGCCGACTTGCCCTAGAGACTGTCTGTGCGGTTTTGGGGGAGTAGCCGGTCATGCCGGAGAGGCACAGACAGTGAGGATCTCCCAGCAGCCTCTAGGGGCTGAGAGTGGTCCCCAGCCTGCAGCCAGCCAGAACCAGGATGCTCAGTCCCGTAACCTCAAAGGGAATGAATTCTGCCAACAACCTAAGTGAGCTAGGAAGCAGATTCTTCCCCAGTCTAGCTTCCGAGTAAGAACACGCCCCAGCAGACGCCTTGGTGGCACCCTTGTGAGTTCCTAACGGAGGAGCCAGTTAAGCTGTGTCCAGACTGTTGACCACAGAAACTGGGAGATAATTACTGTGTGTTGTTTTAAGCTGCTAAAAGTTAGTGGTACTCCGGCTACACAGCAATAGAGCACTAATATAGTCGGGGACATTGGCTTTAGCCACAGGCTACAAGACAGGGAAAGCAGCATACCCCACCTTCATCCAGACGCAGGTACCCCCAGCTGAGCGGATGCTGAGGGACCTGGCTGGGAGGAGACGAAAAGAGACTTGTGTCTCCTCACCTCCCTCTTCCCCCAGGAGGCTGCTGCACCTGCCACAGCCTTTCTAGAAAAAAAAAAAAAGACAGAAAGTAGAATTGTTCCTGGTTGGGCAGGAAGATTTGGGGGGCTGCTTAGAGATTAGCTACTGGGCCAGACAAGGGCAGATGGTTTGTTTGTGACATAAATCAGCTCACCCCTGGCCACCCAAGGCAAAACAGACTGGGCCACTCCCTTGTAACTTTCCTGGGCAAACAGGGACCTAGTTCCAAGGAGGGGTTTATAGTGTTGGAGCCAGGAAACATAAAGGATCCCCCAGAAAGCAGAAGAAGGTGGAGGGTGAGAGAGGAGTTTGTTTTATTTTTGGCCGACAGGAAAGGAGGCACCTGGCTGCTGCTCTCTCGTTGGCTCCGCCCAGCCTCGCAGGTGGAGGCTCTTCCTGGCCCTGGGGTGCAGCAAGACTGATTCCACCTGGGGGCGCCCCCGCTTGCTGTTCCTGTAGCCTGGGCGCCCTTCCTCCAGACCTTCACAGGCGTGCCTGAGTCACTCTGCTCAAAAAAGAGAGAAAAATAAGCCAATTCCTCCCCCCAACTCAGGTATCCATCCATTGTCCCTATCCCCAGATATCTCTATTACCACGTTTTCTTTTCTTTCTTTCTTTTTTTTTTTTTTTTTTTTTGAGACAGGATCTCTGTCACCCAGGCTAGAGTGCAGAGGTGTCATGATAGCTCATCTCAGTCTCAAACTCCTGGGCTCAAATGATCCTCCTGCCTCAGCCTCCAGAGTAACAAGGACTACAGGCATGCGCCACCACAGCTGGCTAAATTTCTGTAGAGATTTGGTCTCACTATGTTGCCCAGGCCAGTCTCAAACTCTTGACCTCAAACAAGCCTCCCAACCCAGTGCTCTTTCCACTGCTCCATGCGGCTTCTCACAGGCAGGAGCTTGGGAAATGAGCCTTAGGGGAGGCGGCATTTTGTAGCTATTGAGAGCATGAGCGCATGCCGGACTGCCCAAGTTCAAGTCCAGCTCTATTGCTTGCAAGCTACACAATTGTAGGCAAATTATTTAATCTCTCTGTGCTTCGCCTCAGTGTGCTTATCAGCGTCCTTTGTAGCACCTGCCTCATAGGGCTGGTGAGGATTAAACGACACCCATAAAGCCCTGCTCTCAGGCTCTGGAACGCGATGGCTACTCCATGGAAGTGAAGCTATGACTGAGCCGTAGCTGCTGCACTGAACGTGGCTCTCCCTGGGTGGCTGGAAGATGATTCTAGGTGGGGAGAGAAACAGCAATGCTGGAGGGAAGAAAAGTGAGAGGCTAGAACCCTCAGAACCGTCTTTAGAGCTTGTCACTCAGAATAAAATCAGCAAGTCACAACGTACCCTTACAGCATAGCTCTTCATCCTTCACAAATGCATTTCAGACACCGTCTCGTCTTTGCCTCGTTACAGCCCTGTCTGCTGGGCACTATCATCCCCATTTTGCAATTGTGGAAACTGAAGTTCTGAGATTCTAGGTCCTGCCCAAGCTAGGCAGTGGGGTGGGAATTCTAGGTGGGTGACAGACTGAATTGCCCCGACCACCTGGCAGAGGGGGAAAGACCTCAGGGGCAGCGGGACTGTAGGGTGACTTACACCAGTGGTTCTCAAATGTGCGCATGGGTCAGAATCCCCTGGACTGCTTGTGAAAAATCACAGGTTGCCGGCCCCACCCCAAGAGCTTCTGATTCGGTGAGGTCTGGGGCTGGAGTTGGGCTTGCTCGGTGCCCTCTAACCGTGAGCAGCAGCGACATCTTGTGGTCAGCAGCGGAACGAACCTTGGACCCCCTGGGCCCGGAGATCCCCCCCGGTCCGGGTGGTGGCGGGCCCAGGCAGTACGGCACCCAACGGTGGCTTTCGGCCCAGAGGAGCATTTTACAACAGGAACTACTATCCCCGAGAGCTTGACATCGATCTCTGGCAGGGTTTTCCGGCCGGTCACGGTTGGGGTAATAATGAGCGTGCGGAGAAGGGAGCAGGGATTGATCCCTGCGGGCTGGGGCAGTGCCACCTCTCATTTCCTCGGCTCAGGCGGTTGCTAAATGGGTACACTGGGGCGTCAGTGTCTCTGCAGTTGCGCAGCTGAGGGGTCGGTCGTAGAAGGACCCCGGGCCCGTGTCTAGGGCGTGGGTCTTAATTCCCCGCTCTGCCTCTCTGGTGGGAGGCCCGGGGCGCCTCGCCGCAGCTTTCTGAGTTTGTGCATCTGCAAAATGGGCAGGTGGCCGTCCATCATGTATGTGACGGGCATGGTAAGGGAAGGGGCTGAGCGCGACGCCCGGGGACACCAGGGTCCGGGAGAGGGCGCCTGCCCTGGCGGCTCAGCTCCTTCCCCTGCTGCCAGCCGTCGGCCCAGGCGCCACCTGGAGACCTGGCGCGAGTCAGCCCAGGCGCCACCTGGAGACCTGGCGCGAGTGTCGCCCCAGCCAGGGCCCGGACGCGCCTCCGAGGCTCCCTCCCCTGGACGTCGTCTGCCCGGAGGAGACATTAATCATTAACCGCAGGGTTAGCCGGGGCTGGGGCGCTGAGTCACTGCGGCGAGGCGGCTCCCTGCAGCCGGGACCTCGCACCCGGGGCGGGGGGCGCCGGGTCCCCGGAGCTCGCGCAGCAGAGCCGCCCGTGGCCGCCCGCGTGCCGCTCGCGGTCGGCAGGGGGCGCCCGTCTGCGCCGTCGGGGCCGCTGGCTCCCTCCCGCCGAGGGCGCGGCAGGCCGGCGGGGCAGGCCCGGTGGCACAGTGTCGGGAAGGTGCTTTCCCAAAGCCGTAAACCCTCCCGCTGAGAGGACTGGGCCGGCTTAGCCACGCACGCGCACCCCGCATGCCTTGTTTCCAAAGGCGGCCGGCGGGGTTATTTCGGGGAGCCCAGGTCGGGAGGCAGGGCAGGTGGGCCCCGCGCCCTGCCTTGCCGGGAGACCAGACAAATGCACTGGCAGTAAATAAGCGGCGCGTGAGCAACGCCGTGGAGAGCGCTGTCGCCCTTCCTCCGCCAGGCTCAGCGCCTCGCGCCTTAGGAGCGGCTGCACTGGGAACTGGTAGTGGGTTTTGGAGGGTCAGGGCGCTCTCCCGGCACCCCAAGGCTGTCTCCTCTGAAGCCCACTCGCCAGGTTAAAGCCTGCCGGGGTGCCAGGAGAGCGCCCCCACTTCTGCTGTGGGGGTCCCCCAGGAAAGATGCTCAAAAATCCCAGCATCTCCCACCTCCAAACCGCAGGGAATTCTGCTTTCTCTAGCCCCCTATGGTTATGCAGTTAAGGAGGTCACTTAACTTTTAATCCAGCACCCACCTGCCTGCAGGTCAAAGGTCCGGGTTTCACTTTAAGTGCAGTGGCACCTCTGTCTGCTGTGACTCACTGGGCAGGCTGACCCAGAGTGCTGTCCCTGCATGGGGTGGAGAGAAGGGGGAGGAGACTGCACAGAATGAGTCCAGGGGTGAGGCCATAACAGCCACCCGAGAGAGCAGCCCAGAGTGACTGTCCCCACAGCCCAGAGCCAGCAGGCTGCAAATCTGCCCCCATAATGCCTGCACCCTTGCTGTGCTTCCCCCAAGGGGGAGTAGAGAGAGGGTGCGGGTAGGTGAAAGAGACCAATGGTGGGCATTATAGCACGACCCAGGGGCATGGCTTCTGACCCCAGTTGGTTACTGCACACCTATGTGATGACACATAATTTCTCTGCCTCAGTTTCCCAGACTGAAAATGACACCTGAGTGCCATTATTTTTAAATGTCATGTTGTTTATCTAAATCCCGAGGTTAAAAAATAAAATATTTCCAAATGGCATAGCAGATACTATAAAAGGGTATGTTTTGGGATACAAAAGTTTGTCACCCCCGTTGTGCAGATGGGGTGCTGGTATCTGATGTGCTTCTGGGTAATTCTTTAGCAGACAAGATTGAATTGGGTCCCCAGACCCACCTGCCATCCCATAAGGCCATGTGAATTGAGGATTAATCAATTAAAGTGCGATTCCAACTTTTAAGCCTTCCAACTGGGTCTTGGTTGTTTCTGTGTGTCTCTGGTTAACACATGTCCTAAGATTCTAAGTAAGCCTGCTTATCAGAGATGCCTCCCCAAATTTAAAGATATACTTTATTATTTTTAAAGTGTTTAAGATGACACAGGGAATTATTAACTCAGTCTTCCCTGTTTCCTTGGAAAAACTGCAATGACATGAGAACTTACCAAGGATCCACCAAGAATGTGCTTTCTTGATGAAGTGTTTTATAAACATGAATGACCGACTCAATGGCCTTTGTATATTCAGCAATGACCCTTGGTTCTGTGCATCACAAATGGCTTCTCTCTGCTTTAATTCCCAGCATCTTGGAGCCAAGGAAGGTTTCTTGGCCTAAATGATTTTCACATGCAGAATTACCAAGATGTACTTCAAAAGAAAGAACTCCTCTAAAATGTGGATATCAGTGGACATCTAACCATATCATAAAATACAGACTGATTTTATTCCCAAATTTCCTTTCATTTGGGCCTGGGATGGCCTTACCACGCTTCAATTTAGTTGACAATTGAAAAATTTCGGAAACACCATCTCCTTTAGTTTCTAGTTATCTCGCGTGGCTTTTCCTTTCTGCTTTCCAAACCCTGTGGAGTTTTTTTCAGTTCCAGATTCTTGCTTGCGAGTGTCTTTGCCTGCTCCTGGAGTGCTCTAGTTAGAGGTGCTCGGTGGAGTCCACTGGATCTGGAATACACCCCGAACACACCTGCTTGTCTGTGGACAAGTGTGTAGACAGACAGACTTTGGCGTGTTCTGGGGGAGAGATTTCCCCAGCTGGAAATAAATGGTTGTTACTATTATAACTGTTCTGTGCCGCCTCAAAGGGTTCGTGCAGGTTCACATCAGATAACAGATGTTCATTCGTGAATCCATCCATTCGTTAAGTGTTTATTATGAACTTGCCTGGAATATGACAATCCATCTTCTCGGTGGCAGCAGAAAAATCAAGAAAGACCGCTATGGGGATGGGGCGGTGGCAGGGAGGCAGGTGCTGCGGGTAGAGGAAGCAGGAAGAAGGGCGAGGAGGGCTCACCGCCAGGTCTCAGCAGGCCCTGCGATCTCACTGCTGAGCCGGGTTTCTCTCCCGGAAGCTCCTGGGAATTGCTGAGCTGGGTGTGACTTCCTAGCGCCACACATCTGCTGGCCAGGGGCCAGCGCAGGGCCTCTCCCCACTGTCTTCCTGAGAGATCTTGCCTCCATTTGCTCACCTCCCTACCGCCAACTCACGGTCACTTTCTCCCTTACCTGCCTCCCCCAGCCACAGAGAGGAGGGTTTGGACATGGAGGAACCTGGGGGAAACTGTCCCCAAGGCCGGCACAAGCTGGCCTCACTCCTCGCTCCAGGCCCGGGCTTCCTGGAGCCACAGCTGAGAAGGCCTGGACCAGCCTTGCTTGGCGGAACCTTCCAGGGAGGTGGGCGGATGGGCAGGGTGAGACGGTGGGCTTCCCACACTGCTGGGTGTGGGCTTGGTGAACCAGGTGACATGATCGACAGGAACTGGGACCAGAGGTGAAAGGATGGACAAGGGACACAAAGGGGGTTGGGGGCGAGCTAAAGTCTGGGACAGAGGTGGTCACCATGCCGTCCTGTGCCAAAGGCTGGCACATCATCCAAAGCCGCCAGATGTGGGCTTGGTCTCATCTGTGTTATAGATCTTGCATCAGTCTGGGAACTTCTCAAAGGCACAGCCATGTTTCTTCTTCATCTTATACCCCGTGTAGGAGGCTCCATCCCTTGAAGCTCAGTCAGTGCTCGCCTGGCACCTGCCAGCCCCTGGGCCAGCAGGGCACAGGTGCTCTCATGCCCCCCGAGTGGCTCCCTTAGCCAGGCTCCAGCTCCTCCGGTTATCCAGCTCGGCCTCATGGGCACCTCGTGTCTGCAGAAGCTCAGGGGGACACCAGGCCCTCCACACCCTCACCCTCTGGGACATGCGTGGACCCAGAACCCACTCCCTGGATGCAAAGCGAAGCCTAGTGACATAGAAGCCTAGCTAGTGGAGGTTGCGCAGCTGATGTGGGACCTGAGAAGGTCCTGCCGCCCGGCCCTCCGCTTCCCTCCCTCCCCAGATGGTTCCAGCTCGAGATGAGCAGGTCAGCACTGTGGGTTGACCCCCTACTGTGTGCAGCGCTGGGTGCTCAGTGTGTGATAGTCACCTTTTGTCTCGCCTGCCCATCATCCCTTCCCCCTCTTTCTGACCTAACCGTTCCAGGTTTGAACCACCCACGCGTAGTCAGGAAGATTCCTGTAGGGCCCGTGGCTAGAAGCATGTGGCCCAGGCCTGGCCATAGAGATTTCAGCCCCACGCCCCATGCTGGCCACAGACATCAGCACCAGGACTTTTGCTGGAACTGGTGGGGAAAGAAACTCTCTGTGCTGGTGGAACATATGAGCCTGGGACTGCTGGTGGGCATCTGGCCACCACAAGAGGACAGCCCAGCCAAGGAACAGGGAAGGACCCTCCCAAGGACGTCCCTTGAGCGCCTAGAAGGACGACACCCAGAATGGCCAGCTTTGTGACGCCCATGTTTCCTTTTATGCCAAAGTTAATTTGAGCTGGGCTTTCTGTCACTTGAAACTAAGAGTGCTGACCAAGATGGGGAGAGGAGGGGGTGCTTGGAGAATAAAGAGGGGAAGTGAAATGATTTCTACCTTAGAAAGGTCCCAGGCTGAGAGGAAATGCAGTTTTCGTTCCTGAGTGTCTGAACACAGGACCTTCCATTTAAAAAAAAAAAAAAAACTGTGCGTATGTGGAATATATACTTAGAAAAGTGCTTATACTTTTTATTCCTGTACCAAATAACAAGTATTCCCGGTGGAAAACTTATAAAAAATAAAGAAAAAAAGGAAGGAAGGTCACCTGCATGCCACTATCCACTGTTACTCTCGGCGGGCACGTGTGTGCATGTGACCCTTTATCAAATCACAGGAGGGGCGCCCCGCCTTGTCACTTTACCTTTGTCCCCACTTACCCGTGCGTGGGATCTTCTTTGGGAACATGTGAACGACATTTTTAGGAGACAGCTTTTGTGGTCCCACCGCGTTCACTTGCATCTCACCCCCCAGCCTCCCATTTGTTCCAGAAAGAGGCACGGAGGCCATCTGTGGATGGAAAGTGGCTGTTCTCCATAGTGTCACCGCTAGAGGAAGTCTTAAAGAACAGGTAGATCATTGCAGTCATCCACTTGTTCAATAGGTAAATATCCAAGTGCCTCCCACGTGCCGGGCTCTGAACTACGAGCTCCAGGTACGATGGGCAAAACCAGCCGGGGTCTCACTGCTTGGAGCTCAGAGCAGAGCGAGGCAGTGTCGCTCAGCGGACGCTCACTAAAGGAAAGTGTAGCATGGGCTGAGACAGGTGCCGCGCATCGGGAGGCGGGAGGGTGTGGCCCGCTGCAGAAGGCTGTCCTGAGGAAGTGGGGTGTGGGCTGGAATCTCAAGGATGGAAAGGTGTCAGCCAGGCCAAGAGAGGGAGTGAGTGTTCCAGGCAGGGCCTGAGGGAAGCCAGGTGGCTGCAGTGGAGATAGGGGGAGGAGCACCCTGTGACAAGGGAGCTGGTGGCAGAGAGGGGACAGCAGAGCCAGATGATGCAGGGCCACATTGCTAAGCTTTGTCTTTACCCTAAGAACAGAGGGAAGCCACTGAAGTTTCCCCGCGCAGGGGTGTGCGTGTGTGTGTGTGTGTGACGTGACCAGACGTGTGTTCTGGAAAGATCACGAGGCTGCATTGTGCGGAATAGGCTGGGTAGGTCCACAATGGCCTTGGGGACAGCAGGTAGGCAGCTGTCACAGTCAAGGTGTGAAAGTTCAGAGCAGCCTGCCTTAGGGCGATGGCGCAGGAAGTGGAGAGAAGAGGAGGGACTGGAGCAGTACTGAGGAGATAAAATCAGCAGGACTTTTCCTTCTGGGCTTGCTCAACTGGCTGGGTGGTGCCACCAGTCCCCAAACCAGGGAACACTGTAGGGGAGCAAACCAGGCTGCTTTGCTCCATGGTAGACGCGTTGAGTTGGAGGAACCTTTGAGACACCCACAAAGAGATGTCGGGTAGGCAGCTGGATGTCTCAGCGAGGAGCTCGGAGGTCACGTGTGCGAGTCATTTGCAGATTGTGCGCCCTGGCCCGTGCATCAGCCAGCTGGCATGGGTCCTGGTCCCAGCGCAGGTCACTGGGCAAATCACTGCCCTACGCTGGGACTCGGAGTCCCCGAGTGTCTGAGGTGTGGGCTGGACCACGACTCTATCTGGCTCTGACATTCTCAGGATCTGGGGGTGCATGAGGATGAACCATTGCCCAAACATCCCTGAATTCCTCCCAAAACCAGGGAATGGAGTCTCCCGATTCGAGGAGTGTCCTGGCTCTGTTAGACAACTCTTCTGGTTGCTCTTGTTCTGCCCCTGGCTGTCCCCTCCCCAGTCAGGTCATCCTGAGACTTTGAGAGTCCTATTCTTAGGTAGGAAACTCAGACTCCTCGTCCCTGTTGGAAGGGA